TGCCAGCAGAATGAAGGGACCAGTGTTATTCATCTATGTGTTCAGACTTGCAGTAAGTCAGCCCCAACGGGTACTGGTACCCCATTACCTGGGAAGCAACCTGCACCACCGACGGGACCGTATTGGCCCAAACAGAGGGAACAGGGCCCCCCACCCTAACTTTTGACCTGTGCCAACTCTTTCGGGAAACCTGGAATCGCCCCATTCTCCCAGTATCCCGGCCTAAACGGTGGGTTTCGGGGGGTCACACCGAACACCAGGCTTCCACCTCTTACGGGTGTGGAACCAGGGAAGCAGAACAACAACTAGGAAGACCCAACTCTACATCTGCCCCAGACGGCCTCGGATAGCCTTCCTCAAGTGTGGTGACCACGAGGACTTTTACTGCGGACAATGGGGTTGTGAGACCTATGCCCAAGGGTGGGCCCCCAAGACGCAGGATAGAGATGCTAGGTTTACCCAGACTCAGCCAGGAGACTGCCAGGTTGGGAGATGCAATCTCCTAACAATTCAACCCATCGATTACTGGTCCAGAGAATGGGCAGGGGGGGAAGACGTGGGGCCTGAGGTTATATGTTTCAGGGTACGACCCAGGAGCGACTAGGCTCCAGAAGGAGCTTGGTGGGCATGCACCACCGGTGTCACCCCATGCATGGGGTCCTTAGGCCTGCAGGTAGGCAAGGAACCTGGATTGTGCATACTCACCCATATCCTGCCCCAGGCGTACTACTATTCGGGAGAAGGGGGACGTGAGCACCTACTAATAGAGCCCCGGAGGGTCAAGAGAGCCCCAGTACTAATCCCTCTGCTGGTGGTCTGGGGTTAGCAGGCTCCACTGCAGTAGGCACGGCAGCCCTAGTCAAAGGACAACAAAACTATAAGGAATTAGGTCAGCAAACAGACCAGGATTTAAGTATCCTAGAGAAATCTATAGGCAAATTAGAAGAATTTGTCGGGTCCCTGGCAGAAGTAGTTTTGCAGAAGAGAAGAGGCTTAGATCTGTTGTTCCTAAAGCAAGGGGGACTTTGCCTAGCTCTAGGAGAAACCTGCTGTTTCTATACTAATCATTCCGGGGTCATAAGGGAAAGCTTAAGTCAGTTGAGAAAGAGGCTAGCTGACAGAGAGGAAGCTCAGAAGACTGCAGGAAACTGGTATAAGAACTTGTTCTTGTGACCCCTTGGCTCACCAGCCTACTGAGTGCTATAGCAGGCCCACTATTACTATTACTTATAGGCTTAATCTTTGGGCCATGCCTCGTAAAATGCTTGGTTAATATTGTACAGGAAGTACAGGCAGTGAAACTAATGGTCTTGCATACTCAGTATTCTCAACTAGTAGATACTAGTAATGAATCTAAGGTTTAGATTCATTCCCAAAAGACCAGTAGGGTCTTTGGGAATGAAATAAGACATTAAGAATATTCATCTTGGGGCCGAAACTGGTTTTTTGGCTCAGTGGATAGAGCATTGGCCTGCGGATTGAAAGGTCCCAGGTTCAATTCCAGTAAAGGGCATGTTCCTTGGTTGCTGATCAATGATTCTCTCTCATTGATGTTTCTAACTCTCTATCCCTCTCTCTTCCTCTCTATAAAAAAATAAATAAAATATATTTTTTTAAAAAGAATATTCATCTTGGGTAAAAACTGCTGTTTGAATTTTAACCCCACTATTCTGACTTTGACCTTCACTTACTTGCTTAAATAGGGTAGTTACAGGAGATTGATTCCCACTGTCTCAGTAGCTTCAGGGGTAGAAACTTTAGTAACAATTCCAGCCCTTCTGTTTCTCACCTAATTTCACAAAGCAATTCCTACTGAAAAAAAGTAAAAAAAAAATAAACCTTAGCACAGTACCTAACGAATAGAGGTGCATGGGTACACACATGCACACACACACACATAGTTAATTCTTCTCTTCCTAGCTTCAGAAATGAGAAAGAGAAAATAGATACACTTCCCAGTTTAGAGGATAGTAAGACACCTAGAAAGGACACCTAAGGTCTTGAGGAACAATGTTCTCTAAAATCTTTTCTAGCCATCATTACAGATAAGACCATTGTACTTTTTTTCTGACTCATTAACATTAATTTTAGGGAGTTGATTCTGGAGAATCCAAGATGGCTGCACAGGTAAATACCTAGCCGCATCAGCACACAACAATTTCAATAAAATACAACTAAAATATAAAATGGACATTACCCAGAACTACAGGAAAGTCGACTGACTGGAAATTCTATAACGAGAAGCAAGGAGAAAACCAGAAGAGCGGAGGAGTTGTAAAAGCCTAAGGTACGGAGACACGCAGCACGCGGAGAGGACAGAGCCAGAAAGGAGGGGCAGCTGAGTGCCTGGCTGGCGTTCCCTAGCGGGAAGGAATTAAAAGCTCCAACTGTCCTGAACCCCAGGCCCGACAGCCCTGAACCCCACTTCTAGGCTAGACCCTGGGGACCAAGGCTCAAATGGAGGGAGACTGAGCTGTGAGGCGGAATCTCAGGGGAGTGGCGAAAGGAGGTCCCGGAGGCGCGCACATTGCGCGCAGAGAAGGGACTGTTGGCTGTGCCACGGGATTGCCCTGGTGGGAAGGAGACAGGGGCTCCAGACTGCTCTGAACACCACCTCCAACTCTACTTCTAACTGAACTGAACCCCAGTTCCGGGCTCATTCGGGAAGAACCTAGACTGTTTGGTAGCAGGCGATAATCAAGGGCACCTTTCTCTCAAAGGTGCTTGCAGCGAGTACCGAAGGACTCTGGGGAATACTGAGACTCAAGAGCCGCATAGGGCTGTAGGCTCCACCCTGAAACCCCGCCCCATCCAAGCAGAACACAGAGACTTTTAAGGCTACCAACTCAGGAAAGCTACGAAAATGCCAAGACAAGAAAATAAATCACAAACGAAAGAAATGGAGGACAAAAAGCGACTGGATATAGAGTTCAAATCTACGCTTGTAGGGTTTTTCAAGAATTTCCTAGAAAAGGTCGATAAGACCTATGAGGATATGAAAAGAGATCAACTAGAATTAATAAGGAATCAACAAGAAAAAATAAGGGATCAACAAGAAATTAAGAATACATTGTCTGAAATAAAAAATATTATACAGAGTCCTAAAAACAGAATGGAAGATCGCAAGAATCAAGTCAAAGATTTGGAACATAAAGAGCCAGAAGACACTCCTCCGCAGAAGCTAGAAGGCAAGAGAATCCAGAAAATTGAAGATAATGTAAGAAACCTCTGGGACAACTTCAAGCAAACCAACATCAGAATTATGGGGTCCCAGAAGATGAGAGAGAGCAAGATATCGAAAACATACTGAAAAAAATAGTGACAGAAAACTTCCCCCACCTGGTGAAAGAATTAGACTTACAAGTCCAGGAAGCACACAGAACTCCTAACAAAAGGAATCCAAAGAAGACCACACCAAGACAAATCATAATTAAAATTCCAAGAGCAAAAGACAAAGAGAGAATATTAAAAGCAGCAAGAGCAAAGCAGGTAGTTACCTATAAAGGAGCACCTATACTATTGTCAGCTGATTTCTCAACAGAAACCATGCAGGCCAGACTGGAACGGCAAGAAATATTCAAGGTGATGAATAGCAAGAACCTACAGCCAAAAATACTCTACCCAGCAAAAGCTATCACTCAGAATCGAAGAACAGATAAAGAGCTTCACTAATAAAAAAAAAGCTAAAGGAGTTCATCACCACCAAACCAGAATTATATGAATTGCTGAAGGGGGTTCTTTCGGAAGAGAAAAATAATAAAGATAAAAATTATGAACAACAAATACGTAACTATCAACAAGTGAATCTAAAAACCAAGGAAATTTAAAAAAAAAAAAAAACTGATGCCGAAACCGGTTTGGCTCAGTGGATCGAGCGTCGGTCTGCGGACTGAGAGGTCCCAGGTTCGATTCCGTTCAAGGGCAAGTGCATTGGTTGCGGGCACATCCCCAGTGGGGGATGTGCAGGAGGCGGCTGGTCAATGTTTCTCTCTCATTGACGTTTCTGGCTCTCTATCCCTCTCCTTTCCTCTCTGTGGAAAATCAATAAAATATATTAAAAAAAAAAAACTGATGAACAATATTAACTGTTGAATATAATAGAATCAGAGGTATGGAAGGGGAGTGAACTGACGATTCTTGGGGAAAAGGGGAGAGGGGGATGTGGGAAGAGACTGAACATAAACTATGCACCTATGAATGAGGACAATGGGAGGTGGGGAAAGGGCAGAGGGTAGGGTGGGAACCTGGTGGAAGAGAGCAATGGAGGGGGGGTGGGGGAGAGAGGAACATTTGTAATAATATGAACAATAAAGATTTATTTTAAAAAATAAATAAATAAAATAAAAATTACTACCTGGAAAAAAAAGAAAGAAAAAAAACACATTAATTTTAGCTTAATATTTTCTTTGTAAATCCTCACCAGAGGATTTTTTTTTTTCCCCACTGATTTTCAGAGGGAGTGAAAGGGAGGTGGAGAGACAGAAACAATGTCAATGGATTGCCTCCCACACATGCACGTGGATTGAGCCTGCAACCTACGTATGTGCCCTTGACCAGAATTGAACTTGAGACCCTTCAGCCCACAGGCTGACACTCTAACCACTGAGCCAAATCATGTAGGGCAGTTTAATATTTTCTATGGACATCTTGTACAATTGTTAAAAATAACATTATTAAAGTCATTCGTATATACTAATTATCAAGGAAAATGGTAAGATTCTAGAATTGCACAGCATATAGCTATACATACATATGCACTCTTGGGAGCACACACATCACAAGAACAACAACATCTATTAGGTATTTACTGTACATTAGATCTTCCATTAGATATTCAGCAGTAAAAAAGATGAGTAAGGCCCCCTACTTTCAAGTAACAACTATGTAGAAAGTGCCCATATATTTGTAGGTAAACAACTTATAAAATTCTACCCTTTAGGGCTTTTAAAGCTTTTCTTTAAGATATGTTTTTAGGCATGAATAAATTTTACGATACTTACTGCTAAAATATCTGCTTCTACAGGCAGTAGGTTTAAAAATGCAAACAACTGCACAGTCAAGATGGTATAAATTTGTGTGGCCGACAGCATGAGCATCCCAATGGAGAGCAGCATCTCGCTGTCAAATCACCTGGAAGATAAGCAGGTAAGTAACAATGAGCTCTGGTGCTTTGTCCCTAAAAATACATGACTTCCTATATTAATTCCTAATGTCCAAAAATATCTTTTAATTATGATCGTGAAAACATTAAAATTAAACATATTCAAAAGCATAAGGATTTACACAGATTTGAACATTTAAGTAACCACCCAAGGTTAGTCAAAACTTACATAACTCATGGTGATTAAGTTTTGTGTTTTAACCACAAAACAAACATCTTCCCATAGTTGTTGGTTTATAATACAACTTATCTACTAATTCAATTATGGAGAAACTAGATTTCAATCCAAATAATTATTTTTTTAAATATAGTTTATTGATTTTTTACAGAGAGGAAGGGAGAGGATAGACAGTTAGAAACTTCCAAGAGAGAGAAACATCCATCAGCTGCCTCCTGCACACCCCTGACTGGGGATGTGCCCGCAACCAAGGTACATGCCCTTGACCAGAATCAAACCTGGGACCCTTCAGTCCACAGGCCGATGCTCTATCCACTGAGCCAAACCAGTTAGGGCAATCCAAATAATTACTTAAAAACAAGCACCTTTGCTTTAAATTTTTTACAATTTTAAAGAATTTTTATAATTATTTAAATATAATTTATAAATTCACATGTAAGTTTACTTTTTATTTACTCTTGCATAGTGTCTATAGAGAATGTAAAAAGAAAGCAAAACACTTAAAATACTTTTGTCCTTTCTCTCCTAATATATACATTTTTCTGTCTCTACATCCTTATAGCTCTATATCCTAATAGTGATAGTGCAGCTATCTCTTCCCAATCTCATGCAATTCTTCACATGAGTCTTTACCTAGCTCACAGCAAAATGTTATGAAAGGTCTAAATGTTAACCAAGCTGAATTCAAAATTCTCATCAGTAAGCCTCAACCAACTATATAGCATATTTATAGGTAAGCATAAAGTTTGCCTTTAAAAATAATTATTTCATTAAATACCACCAACTCATGTAATACCAACTAGATAATGACTACTGTTGGTAAGGAGATTATACACGGACTCAAACTGGTTCTTTAAGAAACACTGAAAGAGAAATATCTCTGAATAATTTCTGAACTACCACCTTACAAACCCATTAAAATCAGAGATGAAATAATGGTGAAAACCTATTAAATTTATAGATTTGTACCACAGAGACAGAAAGCAGATTAGTAGTTGCCTGTAAGTGGGGTTAAGAATTAAAGAAGGGGATGGACAGATATAAACAGGGTTTCATGTCCCCTCCCCCTGGTCAGGATGGCCGGACCCCACCCATGCACAAATTCATACACCAGGCCTCAAATATATTTACTGAGTGGCCAGATTATTATGCATTCAGAGATTATAATAATCTGGCCACTCAGTGTATACTAAATCACTGCATTGTTCATTTTAAATGGGTAGATGTTATGGTAATATGCAAAATAACTCTGCTACTTCCACAAGTCACACCCACCAGCCAATCAGGAGTGAGTATGCAAATTAACCCTACCAAGATGGCTGCATCCATGGAAAGAGTAAGAGGGAGGCTTGGCTTTCCCCGGCAATGGAGGAAGCCAAGCTTTGTGCACACCCTGGTGAGCCTAGGCCTCTGCTTAAGGCTACACAGTTTCAATTATAGAAGATAAATAAATTCCAACAGAAATGGCTGCCACCATAGAGTGAGCAGAAGGCTTGGCTCTGCTCCAGGCTACAAATTTTCAATTGTAGAAGATAAATAAAACCCAGATACTAGGGCCTCTGCTTGGGTCGCCGGGGGACTTGGCCGGCCTGCAAACCACCACCGTCCCCTCGCCCAGACTGCCCCACATCCCAAGGGAATCCCATCCTGATCCGAAACACCCTTCAGGGCAAATCAGCTGGCCCCCACCTGTGCACCAGGCCTCTATCCTATCTAATAAAAGAGTAATATGTAGACTGACCATCACTCCAACACACAAGATGGCTGCCCCCATGTGGACACAAGATGGCCACCACAAGATGGCCAGCAGGGGAGGGCAGTTGGGAGACACCAGGCCTGCAAGGGAGGGCAGTTGGGAGTGATCGACCCTGAAGAAGAGGGCAGTTAGCGGTGACCAGAACGACAGAGGAGGGAAGTTGGGGGCAAATGGGCTGGCAGGGGAGCAGTTAGACATAAATCAGGCCAGCATGGGAATGGTTAGAGGGTGATCAGACTGGCAGGCAGAAGCAGTCAGGAAGGCAGGCAGGCAAGCAGTTGGGAGCCAGCAGTCCAGGATTGTGAGAGGGATGTCCGACTGCCCTGAATGGGCAATCGGACATCCCTCAAGGAGTCCCATATTGGAGAGGGTGCAGGCTGGGCGAAGGGACACCTCCACCCCCTTGCACAAATTTCATGCACCAGGCCTGTAGTAGTTATATTAATATCTCAAAGCTCATCAAAGCATATTCTTTAAATATGCACAATTTATTATATGTCCATTTTAAGTCTGCAAAGCTGTTTTTATTTTATTTTTTAAATAATAAACTATGTTGGGAAAATAGTGCTGAGGGAGAGACCCCAAAAGGAATAACTTGGTAGAAAACCCCAAGGCTGGGATTTCTCACTGGAGAAGGTATAGTTGCAGCACACTTGATAACAGAGAATTTCACTGGGTTTTCCAAAACCAGAACTGATCCACTGTAGCCAGAAAAAACAGGAAACAATTCTGGAATGCAGGCAGGCAGAGGTAATCTGGGCACTACAGGCACAAGGCCTGAGGTAGGCAGTGTCCACTTCAGAAGGGCCTAACAAGGTGGTCACCAGGCCTGGGGCTACAAGATTACTGAAATCCTTTGTTCTCTGGGAACATGGCTAAGACAGAGCAACACCAGATCTTCCCACCCATATGTACTGTTGACAGACCATGCAGTAGGAGCAAGAAAATGAAAATCACAGCTCACGTGACCTAAGAAAAAAAGAAAAAAAACACTTTCCCCAGTAAGTTTTCTCTAGAACTTAGTCCCCTCCAACACCTGATAAAGCTTAATTCATAATTAATATTATGCTCTTTGTAAAGGAAAAATGCCTAAGAATCCAGTCCATTATTGAAGAGCATCTATTGAAGAGAAAATTTGGAGCAGAAATATATTGATAACTGACACAGTAATCTTCCTGTTTTTAACAGTACTTAAATAAAACAGTGCTTCTCTCATTTAACAGTAGGAAAAAGAAAGTGAATATATGGCCATTAGTGTGTATTAATGTGCAGAATCTGAAAAAGCACTCGTAGTCTCTCTGAAATATCATTTATCTTTATTTTTCTTTAATTTTTAAAAAATCTTTATTATTGATTCTCTCTCATCATTGATATTTCTATCACTCTCTCCCTCTCCTTTCCCTCTCTGAAATAAACAAAAATATATTAAAAAAAAAAAAAAAAAAAAAAAAAAAAACCTTTATTGAGAGTATTACAGATGTCCCTTCTTTTTTCCTCCATGTACCCGGTTCCTAACTCACCCCAGACCTTCACCATTCTACTGTCTGTGTCTATTGGTAATGCATATCCTATATAATAATCCTATATAATAAAAAGGTAATATGCAAATTGACCTAACACCCTCACACAAGTATTTGTGGGTGTGATCAGGCCAGCAGGGGAAGGCAGTGAGGAGGCCAGGATGGCAAGGAAGGGCAGTTGGGGGCAATCGGGCAAGCAGGGGAGCAGACAGGCGTTGATCGGGCTGGCAAGAGAGTGGTTAGGGGGTGATCAGGCTGGCAGGCAGGTGAGTGGTTGGGAGCCAGCAGTCATGGATTGTGAGAGGGATGTCCAACTGCCGGGATCGGGCCTAAACCAGAAGTTGGACATCCCCCAAGAGTCCCAGATTGAAGAGAATGCAGGCTGGGCTGAGGGACACACCCCCAGTGCACAAATTTCGTGCACCAGGCTTCTAATAAGCATATAAGACTTTGGTTATTCTATTTCCACCCCACACTCCCTTGCTTCTGAGATTCATCAATCTGTTCCATGTTTCCATGCCTCTGATTCTATTTTATTCATCAGTGTATTTTGTTCATTAGATTTCTTGTTCATTTATTTTTATTTTTAGATTCAATTGTTGATAGACATGTATTACCATTTTACTGTTCATATTTTTTTTATCTTTCCTCCTCTCCCTCCCCTTTCTCCTCCCCCTCTTCTTCCTCCTCGATTCTGCAGACCTCTATTTAATGTACTTAGGATTTAAAGGACAAAATTTCTAGGCCATATCACCCTATCAATATTTTGCTTCTAATTAAATTAATTTTTGTTATTAATTCAATATTTTTTAAATATATTTTTATTGATTTCAGAGATAAAGGGAGAGGAACAGAGATGGAAACATAAATGACGAGAATCATTGATAAGCCCCACATTGCAGATGGAGCCTGCAATGTGGGGCTTATGTGTCCTGACTGGGAATTGAATCATGATCTCCTGGTTCATAGGTCGATGCTCAACCATTGAGCCAAACCAGCCAGGTTCACCATTACTTTAAAAAAAAATTTCAGCAAGTAAGCCATACATTGGAAAGAAACACTGCAGTAATTTTGCCAATATAAATATTACATACCTACAACTATAGTCTACATATTTAACTCCCAGAGTCATCAGTATTAAATGTTTGGAGAATGACTAGCATGTGATCACACAGCATAATGCATTATGCACAGCAACTGGTTCTGTCGCCATGTGGCATGACTTGCTGCAGCAGTTTTAATATGTGCAGGCCATGTGCATTTGTTTACTCAAGGTGAATGGTGGATGCATGCATTTACTCAACCTATTCGGTATAAATTTAAAATTACAGTAATACCTTCAGAAAACATTTCTGTGAAATTAAACTTTTCATAGATACTTAATTTTAATTACACAAACATGTCTGCATAAGTAAAAACAGGTAAACTAACTAACTTGTCAATTTTTTTACATACACATTCAGAAAACCTACTTTATTATATAACAGAATTTCAGCTTTAATGGATAGTCTCTTA